GACCCGCAACCAACTCCCTGCCCCTGCCCCCGCGGGGCGACGGTCCACCTTCACCGCCTCGGGGGCCGCCGGACGACCTTCTACCGCCCAACTCAGGGTGGCGTTGGCCAAGGGGGTGGCGCAGGTCAAGTTGGCCGCTTGGCGTTGGAAGAGCTCGTGGAAAGAAGGGGGTTGCAGGGAAGGTGGTGGAGACCTGAGGCAACCTGAAAATCCAGAGCGGGGGGGAGGGGCACAAAGATGTTGGGGGGAGAGGCAAGTGAAACCAGTTGTCCCAACCCCAAAACCAGTTTGAAATGGGTGGGGAAGGGGACAGGTGGGATGTGGAGCTCACCATGGTGGGATGAGGAACTCTCCGGCTGTTCAGGTGTGGGAGAGACCGTGGGTGGACCTGCAAAAAGGGAGGGAGGGGGTGAGGATGGGGTTTGGTGCCCCAAAGGTGAAACCAGGGGGTTGGTGGCCATGGGAAGGAGAAGCCAACCCCGTTGGAGGTGGAAACTCAACCCATTGGAGATGCCAACCCATGTAGAACATGAGGAAGACCCCAAAAGGGCATCAAGGGGGGGTGTGTTGGTCCCCCAAAGATGGTGGTTGATGGCCTTGGGATGGAGAAGCTAACCCCATTGGAGATGCAACCCATGTAGGACACGAGGAAGACCCCAAAAGGTCATCAAGGGGGGGTTTTGGTCCCTCCAAGATGGTGGTTGATGGCCTTGGGATGGAGAAGCTAACCCCATTGGAGATGCAACCCATGTAGGACACGAGGAAGACCCCAAAAGGTCATCAAGGGGGGGTTTTGGTCCCCCCAAGATGGTGGTTGATGGCCACGTGAAGGGGAAGCCAACCCCGTTAGAGGTGGAAACTCAACCCATTGGAGATGCCAACCCATGTAGGATACGAGGAAGACCCCAAAACAGCATCAAGGGGCATTTAGTCCCCCAAAGGTGGTGGCTGGTGTCCATGTGAAGGAGAAGCCAACCCCGTTGGAGGTGGAAACTCAACCCATTGGAGATGCCAACCCATGTAGAACATGAGGAAGACCCCAAAAGGGCATCAAGGGGGAGGGGGTTGGTCCCCCAGAGATGGTGGTTGGTGGCCATGGGAAGACGAAGCCACCAAAGTCCTCACCTTCTCTGCCGGTGTTTTCGGTGACGTTCAAGGGTTCCTCCAGGGTGAGGTGTCTCACCATGCAGGCGTAGGCCTTCCCCTCCTCACCCTTCTCCAGACGGAGGACACTGAGGACGGAGAAGACCTCTTGACCGGTGACGGGACCTGTTTCGCTCCGGGCGGGAAGGTCCTGAGCGTGGTCGCCCACCCAATGGACCTGGCTGGGGGGGGGTGGGGTGGGGGGGGAGGACACCTTGAGATGCAGGCCCAGGTGGGACCCCATGGGGGCTCCCAAAAGGACCTGGGCAACCTCATGGGGACCTGGGCAACCATATAGAGACCTGGGCAAGCCCATGGGGACCTGGGCAAGCCCATAGGGTCCTGGGCAAGCCCATGGGGACCTGAGCAACCTCATGGGGATGTGGGCAACCCCATGGGGAGCTGGGCAATCCCATGGGGACGTGGGCAACCTCATGGGGACCTGGACAAGCCCATGGAGACCTGGGCAACCCTGTAGAGACCTGGGAAACCCTATAGGGACCTGGGCAACCCCATGGAGACCTGGGTAACCCCATAAAGACCTGGGCAACCTCATGGGGACCTGGGCAAACCCATGGGGACGTGGGCAACCCTATAGAGACCTGGGAAAGCCCATGGGGACCTGGGCAAGTCCACAGGGACCTGGGCGACCCAATGTGGACCTGGGCAACCTCATGGGGACCTGGGCAAGCCCATGGGGATGTGGGCAACCCCATAGGGTCCTGGGCAACCCAATGGTGACCTGGGCAACCCAATGGGGATGTGGGTAATCCCATGGGGACCTGGGCAACCCGATGGGGACCTGGAGAAGCCCATGGGGACCTGGGCAACCCAATGGGGACGTGGGCAACCCTATAGAGACCTGGGCAAGCCCATGGAGACCTGGGCAACCTCATGGGGACCTGGGCAACACCATGGGGAGCTGAGCAACCCAATGGGGACCTGGACAAGCCCATGGGGATGTGGGCAACCTCATGGAGACCTGGAGAAGCCCATAGGGATGGGGGCAACCCAATAGAGACCTGGGCAACCCTACAGAGACCTGGGCAAGCCCATGGGGACCTGGGCAACCCAACAGGGTCCTGGGCAAGCCCATAGGGTCCTGGGCAAGCCTGTGGGGACCTGGGAAAACCTATAGGGTCCTGGGCAACTCCATGGGGACCTGAGCAACCTCATGGGGATGTGGGCAACCTCATGGGGACCTGGACAAGCCCATGGGGACCTGGGCAAGCCCATGGAGACCTGGGCAACCCCATAGGGGCCTGGGCAACCCCATGGGGACCTGAGCAACCTCATGGGGATGTGGGCAACCTCATGGGGAGCTGGTCAAGCACATGGAGACCTGGGCAACCCTATGGGGACGTGGGCAATCCTATAGAGACCTGGGCAACCCAACAAGGACCTGGGCAAGCCCATGGAGACCTGGGCAACCCCAAGGGGAGCTGGGCAACCCCATGGGGACGTGGGCAACCCAACAAGGACCTGGACAAGTCCATGGGGATGTGGGCAACCCCATAGGGACTTGGACAACCCATGGGGACCGGCTGACTACGTATGTCCCCACATGTCCCCTCATGACCCCACATGACCCCGCATGTCCCCTCATGTCCCCACATGTCCCCATGTGGTCCCACATGTCCCCACATGTCCCCACATGGTCCCACATGTCCCCTCATGGTCCCACATGTCTCCTCATGGCCCTATATGTCCCCACATGTCCCCACATAACCCCACATGACCCCACGTGTCCCCATGTGGTCCCACATGTCCCCTCATGTCCCCACATGGCCCCACATGGCCCTACAGGCCACCATGAGTCCCCACATGTCCCAACATGTCCCCACATGGCCCCACATGGCCCCACAGGCCACCACGAGTCCCCACATGTCCCCACATGACCCCACATGGTCCCACATGACCCCACGTGGCCCCACATGTCCCCACATGGTCCCACATGTCTCCACATGTCCCCACATGCCACCCCTCCCCCCTACCACGTCCCCCTCATCCCCAACTCACAAGAGGGCCCCAGGTGGAACGTCTGGTAGACGTCGCGGTTGCAGGGGATGGTGGCTTTGCAGGCCAGGTCCAGGCCAGCTGCCCACTGCTCCAGGGTGAGGGGATGGCTGAGGAAAAGGCTCTGGGTGCCGTTGGGGTGGTGGAGGAGGGTGGTCGTCTGCCCCATCCACATCCCACCCCAAAGGAGGGTGGCACCTTCCAGGCGCCAACCCAGGAGAAGACAGGAGACCGAGGCGCGGCCGGCCAGGAGATCGGCGTAGGAAGGTTGGGTGATGTAGAGCTGTGGTGGGAGGGAGGCGCCCGAGCAGGCTGGAGAGGAGGAGGAGGAGGAGGAGGAAGAGGAGAAGGTCCAAGCTGGGTCATGGCTGGTGTTTCCTCAGCCATGCCTGGTGTCCCCCTAGGTGTCTGTCCATCTGTCTGTCATCCGTGGTGGCTCCCCATCCATCCGTTTCTCCATCCACCCATCCCTTCTGGTGTCTCCCCATCCAGCCACCACATCTGGTGTCTCCCCATCCATCCATCTATCCATCCGTCCATCCATTGCCTCTGGTGTCTCCCCACCCATCTGTCCGTCCGTCCATCCGCCCATCCATCGTGGCTGATGTCTCTCCATCTGTCCGTCCATAGCTCCAGGACTCCATCCATCCATCCATCCATCCATCCATCCATCACCTCTGTTGTCTCCCCATCCATCCGTCCGTCTGTCCGTCCATCATGGCTGATGTCTCTCCATCCGTCCGTCCATCCATCCATCCAGCCATCATGGCTGATGGCTCCCCACCCATCCACCCACCTGGTTTACTGCCTCCCCACCCACCCATCTGTCCGCCCGTCCATCCACCATGGCTGATGTCTCTCCATCCATCCATCCACCCATCCATCCATCATCTCTGATGGCTCCCCACCCATCCATCCATCCACCCACCATGGCTGATGGCTCTCCATCTGTCCATCTGTCACAGCTGATGTCTCTTCACCCGTCCATCCATCTGCCTGTCCATCCATCCATCCATCCATCACCTCTGGTGTCTCTCCACCTGTTCATCCATCTGTCCATCCATCCATCCATCCATCCATCCATCTATCCATCACCTCTGGTGTCTCTCCACACCTCTGGTGTCTCCCCGTCCATCTGTCCATCCATCCATCCATCCACCCACCCACCGCTTCTGGTGTCTCCCCACTCATCCATCCATCCATCATGGCTGATATCTCTCCATCCGTCCATCCATCCATCCATCCATCATGGCTGATGGCTCCCCACCCATCCATCCACCTGGTTTGCTGGCTCCCCACCCATCCATCCATCCATCCATCCATCCAT